GTCGGCACAAAGAAAGGCGCTATAGAGGCCCCTTTTCAAGTCTACTTCTGTCAATGACATGGTATGAAATGAAAAATGTTCGATATCTCCTCCTTTTCGGGTTAATTTCTAATGGTTCTGTAAATTTCCTTTTTCTTTTCGGCCTTCTGAGCTCTCAAACTGTGCAATCTTGGTACAAAAACGTTGTAATAATTGGCAAGACCTAAAAAACTTTGAAGAGACAACACATTTTCTGGTGCTGACATTTTGTTTATTGCCGTTGCCCTACCTGGGTCGGGACGTCTTCCGTCTTTGTCAATTATTTGCCTCAAGTACTTAATCCTCTCTAAGAAAAAAATCACACTTCCCATCTTTTAATTTGAATCCGTAATCCTGCATTCTCTTGAACACATGCCAAACGAGCGATGTATATTCCTCGATGCTCTCGCTTTTCAATTCGACGTCATCGAGATAGGCCACTGCAAAATCCAGACCATTTAACATCGTGTCCATGACCTGTTGAAAAATGGAAGGAGCGACATTAAACCGGACGGAAATTTTTAAAATTTGTATAAACTCTTGTGGGTGTTTATGCAAAGGGGGATCGAGCATTTCTCGTCCACGGGTATTTGAGGATATGCGTCGCTGAAGCCGATCTTAGAGAAATATTTTCCTCTACTGAGCTTAGCGAATATCTCCTTTGGACATGGAAGGGGATAATGGTGATCCTTTAGAGCGCTGTTTAGCCCCGTAGAGAAGTCAGCACATACACGAATTTCTTTGCTTTTTTAAAATATAAACTGTCCATTCATTATATTCAATCTTTGCCAGAACTCCCATTTCCTCAAGTCGATTCAGTTCTTCGTCAATTTGATTTAACGAGGCAAATGGAACGTTACGTTTTTTCTTAAAAACTGGGTTTACGTCTGGCTTTAGCTCAAACTTAGTTAGCAGACATTTTTGTGCATTTTCCTAGTCCTCCACTGAAAACGTCAGGAAATTATTTTTAAGTTCTCTTTTCAACTTCTCTGCTTCGTCAATCATATTTTCGACATAATGAGTTAATAGGCATATCTCAAAGTTGAAACTGTTCTAACCAATCAGTCCCGAACCAATTACCCGTATTCTTCATAATATACACCTTTAGTTTTAAAGATTTACCTTTAAATGACATGTTTGTTAAAAGTTCGCCGATAAACTTAATAAGGTCGCTAGTTATACTTTTAGCTCTTCGTTTCGTTCTTAACAAAGTCGGCTTACCCAGTTTTTTCCATGTTTATGGATAAGTCTGAACCTGAATCAAGCTGTAGCCTTATATTTTTGTTAAATATTTGCACTTCAGTATATTTCCTGATGTCACGACTTTCTGGTTCATCAGACTTGATAATTTTTACAACACATTTTTTGTCTTGTTCTTAAATCTGTAGTGGGAACTTTTGTGTCCCAATTTATCGCAATTAAAACATTTTTTATCTTTAAAAACAATCTCTATACCAATGTAATTGACCACATCCGAAACATGGTTATGACGACAAAATAACTTTATTCTTTGGTTGGCGTATTTTTTAAATTTTTCTTTGGCGTATTTCTTTAATGTGAATCCTCTCTGACACTCACGGACGATGAAACAATTTATTAATACTTTAAAATGAATATTAGATTATATAGGAAATCAGGATAACTAATTAATCTCCAATTACGTAATTAAAAAAATGAAAGTTACGAATATTAAACTCTAAATATAACCATGTATCAAGCACTTTAAAAAAATAGTGTTTTTGGATACTGGAATTTTATTCCATCTATACCAACCTTGTATTCGGATATATGCTGTTATTATTGTTGAGCACTGTTTTTATACTATGCGAGAAAATAAATTTCGGAATCTCTTTAAAGAACATTCCCACAACAAACAAACGGGATTATTTTGTCAAATTGGTTCTGTAAACTGATGATCTTAGACGAATGCGGTGGAGAGCTCATTTATTTCTTGTCGAATTTAGTTTTAATAACACCACGTATCGACAGATTGACTGGGTCGCTATGGGTTCCCCTTTAGGCCCGGCACTTGACAATATTTTTGTTGGCTTTCATGAGGAGAGAATTCATAGTAATGCACTTATGCCTCAACTGTATTATCGATATGTCGACGATACTTTTTGTTTATTTAATGATGAAGTTGAGGCTGATCAGTTTCTCTCTTTCTTGAATGGTATCCATCCAGCGCTGAGATTTATTTTCAACTTGCTTTCTTGGATGTCTTAGTACACTGGACACCGACAATTTTTCTCACCTCTGTTTATAGGAAACCAATATTTGTGGGGTTATATATGCGTTGGGATTCCTTTTGTCCTAGAAAACGTAAGATAAACATAATTAGAACCCTAGTACATAAGGCATTAATGATAGATTCAGAGTCTTTCTTGGACAATGAAATCAATTTTGTTAAGGAAACCCTATGTAGTTTAGGGTATCCCCCTGATACTGTTCATTTGGTCACCCACAACAAGATTGAGGAGTTCAGAAAGGTCAAACTTTGTACTGTTAAAAAGTGCCCTGTTTATCTTAGATTGCCCCGGATTGGATCCAAGTGTGATAATATGATTAGGCAGATTTCAGCTAATGTTCGTCGTCATTTTTTATCGGCTGAGGTTCGTATTGTTTTTCAAACTCGGCCTATGCTTTGTTCTGGGTGTAAGGATGTTCTCCCTCCCCATCAAATTAATTCTATTGTTTACAAATATAATTGTAGTTGTAGTGCTGATAGGGAGAACCACTCAATGCCTGGACATGAGAATTAACCAACATATTCCAACTAAGATCAGGAATCACACCTTGTCATTGAATGGACGTGTCCCAAATACCTATGATTCCGTCATATGTGAGCACCTCTTAAATAACAGAGGGTGTGCGGCTAATTTCACCTCAAGGTGCTGGAGGCACTTCACATCGGGTCCCGCAAGCCTTCCCTGTGTAAATAGCGTGAATGTTTGTTGGGTCTCGCTGTCATTTGTATCTTGCTCTGGTGTTCAATCTTTTTTCCCCTTTTCCATCTCATTGCACATTTTCTAGTGTTTTAATTTAAGCTAAATCTCCTGTGGAGGCCTGATGAGCGGTAGCCAAACCGGTTGCTTCACTTTTAGAAATGTCTAGTAATATCAAGCTTCACACTTTTATTTCTGTTATTAGATTTTGTACCTTCAAAAATATTTTCATATATATATATATATATGTGTGTGTGTGTCTGTGCCTGTGTGTGTATATGTATATATGTGTGTGTGTGTGTGTGTGAGTGTATGTGTATGTACATGTGTTCCCTTCAATATAAATATTAATTTATAGACGCGCTCAAACACCCACATTAAAAGGTGATCTTGGAGACTGTTGATATCTACATTCATTTAATAGGATATCCTTCCTCTCACTACTTTCCCTCGCTAACCTATCTACACCTGATATGCCTCTTGTCGGTAACGAAATGAACACGTTTGTCCAAATTTAGTAATGGTGTTTTACTGATTATTGCATGATACAAATGTTATATGTGAAATAGGGTGTGCCCCGGTAAGTCTGAGTTATGACTAAAGACGTGATAAGGAAAAGGAACGTATTTTCATGTCAGTTTGCCATTTTACTTTTGACCATCACAGTTTTCGTATGTGCTCTTCTAAATAAATATTCATACAAAATGCGATAGTTAACAGTCAGTCTGGTGCAGGCTGCAAGACAAACAGAAATGCAATCAATATCTACAAAATCTCGTCAATACTTACATCATCAGATTTAGTTCTAGTTGGAATTGAAGTAAATCACATCAGTCTATTAAATGCGAGTATGTTTCTTGGGTTTGTATTTATTCTGTTAGAATTAGAAAGAATAGAAATGTTTGCAGCAGTTTTTTAAATGGAATACACAAAAAGTATACAAATAAAATGTAGCAACGTATAAATTATAGTGATCCCAGCATTGCAATTATTTTTAACGCTAATTAGTCATATATTTTTAATTAAAATGGAGATTACATCCTTTTATTTTCTTCATTATTATTAATATGTCAGTCAATTTTAAATAATGATAATATTTTATTAATTAAAAAAGAAACGAGTTTTGACCTTTTCTTTTACGTTGTTAATCTGAATTTGATGCAAACGACGTTGAAAATATAAAAGGAATGAATGACTTGTGTCTGCATATAAATTCCATCCTCGGACGTTTATACTCATATCCTCTCTCCCTCACAAAGTAAGATACGACTATTAAAGTTTTCCGGGAATTAGTTAGAAGCATCTACACTTGTGTACACGTAAACAGAGACACATAAAGCAAGAAAACACATGCTGGTAGGAGTACTAGTCAAAAACTCATTGATTTTGAAGAATTTGAAACATGTATGTACACAGATAAACTTACATGCATTACTATGCATGTAAGTTTATCTGTGTACATTTCGCGAATTAACGTTGTGTACATATAATGTGGCGAGTAGGATCATCACTTGGTACTCTGTGCCAAACTTAATTCTGTAAATATTTGCATGTATTTTACATACAAAAACATGCAAAAAGCAAGACATTTTGATCAGCAAGCATTTTCCCAAGCGTTTTATAAAATAGAAGAATGTATACATTCCATCGACTGTTCAGTACGTCTATAAAGATCACAGCTATCAAATAAATTTGAATTAGAATATTCATGAATGTATACTCCTAATAATAACATAACGAGATGTAAGAGTAGTTATGTCGAGTCAAAAACTCACACGACTCAAGAAAATAGCTATGGCCGCACATATGAAGTAAGACAAGATAGTAAACAAACTGACCGAAAAAGAATTTCAACGTGGGTGAATTTCCAATTATGTAAACGGCTGGATTTTCTATCTACTGACAAACCCCATGTGGTCCAAATAACACAAATAAGAATAGAAAATAGCAAAATACTTTGGAAATTCAAACGAATTCACAATCCGACCGTAGAAAATGTACCAAATCGTCGTTTCCGCAATATATATATATATATACACAGAGAGAGAGAGAGAGAGAGAGAGAGAGAGAGAGAGAGAGTGAGAGAGAGAGAGAGAAACAGACAGACAGAGATAGAGAGAGAGAGATAGATAGATAGAGAGAGAGATATGGTCAAAAGCTGTTGCAATTATGTACAACATAATCCTTAGGTCGAGTGATAAGAAGAAATTATGAAACTCAGAGATTCAAGAAAGAATTGAAATCATTCGGATCATAGCAATATTGAAGAGAACAAGAATACTATTATAACTTGGGAGTATTATATCATCACCATTCCTAGTCGTCGCCATATTTGTATTTTTCGTATTATATAATTGATGGTTTTTCTTGCATAAGAGGCTTTAAACAATTAGAATGTTTTCTCTGTAGACTACAAAAATCCAACATATAAACACTTGCTTGGACCTGAATGTCACTTCAAACAAGTTAATTGAATAAAAAATATAATCAGAAATACCAATATAAGGACAAAGATATTTTTGAAGTTACTTTTATCCTCTTTAATTTAGAGATATTCATGGTGTCAGTTTGCTACTTTTATTCCTGAAAAGTCTGTACTACTATCTTGCTTGTACGTACCTACGAGTGTTGTATCTATCTGATCCCCGATCCTTTCGTGTTGGAATCAGTTATATTTATTTATCTAGAAACCTACATTAAGCGCGAAGGAATTAAGAGCCAGAGAGATAAGAATTGAAAAAAGGTGTGTGTGAAGGTGAAAGGTTGGAGGTTGTCTTTTTTCTAATGCTTCTTCCCACTTCTCTAGCTTCCTTGCTAGAGAAAAGAAGAATTTGGAGAGTGGGTATGGAGGATAAGGAAAGGTCGGAGGCAAAAAAGCTAGAGCAAGGAAGAGGGAAAAAAGGACGTGGAGGAGGAAATGTTGGCGCTGAGAAAACAAAAAAAGACTGTGTAAAGGAGGAAAAGTTGGAGGCAAGAAAGCTAGCGTAAGGAAGAGGAGAAAAAGTTCATAGAGGAGAAATGTTGGAGCTGATAAATCGAAAGAATAACAATGAAAATCAGGTGAAAAGAAAAGAAGAAGTAATGGAAGAAAGGAAGACAGATTTACTGGCTGAATATCAGAGAACAATTCGCGAGGGATTGAAAGGAATAAAAATTGAAATATATTAAAACTTCTTTTGGGGAGATAGAGAAAAATAAAAATAAAATATTTGTGCATCATTTGTCTTTGCATTCTTGTTTGCATAACATTTAGGTAAAATTACAGAGGGACAAGAAAAATGGAGAATTAAGTTAACAAGGGGAATTAATTAAAACTGGGATATACAAATGAATTACACGTGGAATTAGAACAACATACCGCCGTGGACTAAATAAAGGGTTCGTTCGAAATTCCGACAAATATCACCTTAGGGTCTAAACATCGTGAATATGGCAAGAAAAACGAGGACAACAGTCGGAACAATGTAAATAGTGTAAATAACAAAAAGCACTGCAAATTTCTGATCGTATCCATCTTCCTCTACGGATGTGACACTTGGACATTCCTGGTTGAAGCAGAAAAAAAGGCGTTCAAGAACAAATGATTGAGAAAACTCTACCGCATCTCCTCCGGGGAGAAGAAAAAAAATTCTATGTACAGAACAAGATTAAAAGTCTCGTGGATCGACAGGATTTTTTTTCTTTTAAACGTCATGGCTTGGCTACGTCATGCAGCATAACAGCATCTGCAAGACTATCATACAAGACGCTATTGAAGCGGGGACAGCAACGCAAAAGTTGGCTAGATAACATTTAAAGAGTTGATGAACATGACAATACTGAGATCATCCTGGAGAAGGCATTTCTCTTTTGCCCTTAGGTCCCACCGACAATTGAGGCTGGGGGTGATGATAGAATGACAATAAAATTGGAAAGGAATAAGGGAGAGGATGAGAAAATACATGCAAAAGGTAAGAAAAATGTATTGTTAGTTCCTTTCACTAGATTAACTTACTACCAATGGCTTACTAAACTAATATGCTAATTGAAGCGTTGTTATTTGAGTGAAACGAATCCGACCAAAAGTAAAAAGGCGTAGATATAAATCATAGATTTTCTTCTAAATAATTAAAACTACGCCAACGATATTTCATATTATTACATGCCTTATTCATTTAATTGAAATAATCATTAAACTTACCATCCCAAAGTAATAAGCTTCTAATAATTTTTTGAAAGACATGTTAATATTTTAAGGTCAAACATATGTTATTTAATACGTTTGATATCTTTCTGATTAACTAAATAAAATACATCGTATGAGTTACTTTTGCATAAAACAAAAATATAATATTTGCCTTCTTTGAACCGATTCAGTAAAGCCCAATTGGCTTGAAGTCATCCTAAAACTTTGGGGGAGGGAGGGGGGATTCACTGCATGATATTTTCTGTTTTTTTGACATAATAAAAACTATGGAAAGTAATGGATTTCGAAGGATTATGTAGCACCAGCCTACATAGAGATAAACACAAACGTATATTTTATAAAATTCCTATTTAGACTCTTTGTATTACCTGATTATGAACTGTGTAGGATTATGAACTGATTATGAACTGTGTAGGATTATGAACTGATTATGAACTGTGTAGGATTATGAACTGATTATGAACTGTGTAGGATTATGAACTGATTATGAACTGTGAGTGTTTGAGTAGGAATCAAATTTTCATTAAGATGAAAATGCTTAGCTCGAAACTGTCTCCAGTTATCACGTAGATACAGTGAGGATCATGAAACTGTTTTCACTGTAAGGTAAAATGATTGGATAAAACGACAGATTCTTACATGCAACAGGTGTAAATCGACAAAGAGGTGGTGGATAGTAATTGCGTATGGGTAGTGGTGTCATAGGCTCAGTTGCAAAAATCAATATCTGCAGGTCTGTGGAGTCATTGACCTCATTTTGTGACGCATCGTGACCGCTAGTGAGTGCATAGCCTGTCATTTCCGAAAGTGCAGAATGCACAATCGTTAACACGTGTAAATCTAACACGCGATTCTCGCCTTAAAAGAAAGAAATCCGAGACTAGATATACTCGCAGTTATTCCGTCTGTGATCAGTGAATGGGGGAGGTGTCTACAAACAAGTAGTTGATAATTCATAGTGGATATTCTCAATGATAAAGCATCCTATATTTCACACGTACTGGAATATATTCCTAGTGTCAGAAACGGTATCGGACTTGTTAGAAGATTGTTTAGCGGAAATTTCCACAGTTTGATTCGCTAATTAGCATAAACAAAAATGAGTAAATTATACGTTACTTCAAACGCTATTATAGTGGATACTTATTTGAAATAGACTCCATTTTTTTATTTATTGAACATTGTATATTTTGTTTATTGGCATCTCTGTGTGTGTGTGATATATCCGAAAAGTAAAGTACAGCAAAACATTTACTAATAGAACACGTTAATTACTTACTAACTGAATAAAATATTGTTACGAGCTACGAGCTACGAGCACTACTTATCCACAAAGTAGCCATTTGCATCAATGTGACATTAGGTGACATTTTTTGAACAAGAATTATTCAGGTTTGATCATCCATCTTTTGCAGTCTCTTTAGGAGTTATTCTATATCGATGAAGTATCAAAATGTAGCTCAAAGCGAATTGGATCAGTGTAAAACAGGTGTTTATCTGTTTGAAATCGATTTACCTGGAGTAGAAACTAAATTTGCTTAGTTTAGCTAATCCACCAGCTTAAATACTCTTGTCTTCGTGATCAACCCTTTAAAACAAACAAGTAATCATTTATATGTTTTATTATTCGGGCCAGGACGACGCTCATCTTGATTGTTATGCTTATAACGATATACTTCCTAAGGTATCTACCGATAGTTTACTCGAAATTTTGAACTGAATCATTTATTCAATCAGATTATTCATGTGCAAATTATTCACATTCTGTTTTACATTCCTATGGAGATATTTTCCCTCTCTTATTTTATATTTATATTTCAGTAGTTTTATTAATGTTTTAATGTCGCTTGTCTGTTTCTTTTACTGAAACAAACCTTATGACTTTTCAGTACTACCAGAAAATATTGTGGAAGAAATGGACAAATGATACAAAAAGGTGAAGACCAATGAGTTAATAGAATACAATGTATTTGGTAGATTTTAAGATTTTAAATATTTTCTAGATTTAAAAATGTTTAATCTAAAGCTTTAAAGAAAATGCGTTTTATGCGCAGCAACAAGAAACTATGTCCAAAACCCCTACACCACCCCGTCAGAGCTGAGGTCATCCTTCTATTGATTTTAGGAAAGACGCGACAATAAACTGATCCAGATGGTCTCTGGAAGTTTCAACTCCCCTGGTAACACCTCCCTATTGTATTAAAGTGGGAAGTTGACAGATATTGCCGTGACTGGACAATTTTCTCCTCGTCCCACACGTACGCGTATGGGTTCGACATTAGCATCAAGGAACAATATTGTTAGTAAAACTTGTCTCATTTTTTTTTCATAAGTGCACATGCATATAAATATCATTGGATTGACTGGAATATTATTCAAATTCAAGGCCGCAGCTGCTGCTGTTTTTATAATGACAGCGTGCAGCATCAATATTGAACTACATTTAAATGCGACTTGTATGAATGAATCAGTGCAATTATGAATGAAATAAATAGAGGTCGGCGAATAGGAATACTCAATATCACCTCCGCCAAAAACATACACGCAAAGACAATGACGTATGAACACATTCGTGGAAAAACAAAATGTCTATTTCTGGAAAGCCAAGAACAGAGACCTGGAAACTAATTTTATTCAAGAGATTGCTGTATTGCAAATATAAAATAGTGAAATACTAAATTTAGGTATGGAAAATGGTTTCTAAAATCAGGTCTCTCGAAGGAAGATATACCTTTTCCTTCTTTCTTATATTCTTATGTTAACTAACAAAGATTATCAACTAACCTTTTAATAGGTAAAATGATTTTGTTAGAAAAACACTGGGCATTTGAGTATTGTGATTTCGGTCAAGTTTTAGAACTGTTTTTAAAAGTAGGCTTTTACCCCCTAATAAAAACGGTCTAACGAGAATCTATTGATGTTCAGAGTCATGAAAAGAAGAGGGAGGGTAGAGACGATGTATTTTGTAAATTATTCTTGCAAGACAGCTAGATGCCTGACCAAAAAAAAAATCTCCTTCATTTCATCCTCTTTTAAATGTCTCCAGGCTGGATAGAAAGAGAGTAAAAGTGATAGTTTAGAAGAGGAAGACTTTTCTCCTATTTAAAGTAGATGCAGGAGTCTAAGACGAATAATGAAAAAGATGTCGTAGGAAGAAGAATTGAGTAACACATTTTTAGAAAGCAACTTTTTAAGCAGAAGAAACAAAACTGATTCATATATTTACAATCAGTGAATTTCAATATTCGTGAAAGATATTACTATGCGTACAAAATAAAAAAACCCCAAAACCTATTCATTGTAAAAACAGGTAATTTGAAATAATTTCAGACAAGGGAGGTATTACGATTGTATGTAGAAAGCAACAAAAAGAATGGATAGAAATGTAAAGACGTCTATAGACATTGCAAAAATGAGATGACATAAATATAGTTGTAAAGAGAACAAATGAATTATTATTAATAAAAGCACAGGATAATTTTATAAGAACCAATTAAATTATAGACAGGATAGATGCAATAATCAAAGAGGACGATGCGAACATAAAATATGAAAGTGTCAATCATATAATAAGCGAATTCAGCAAAGAAACAAGTATAAAATAGACAATAGACAATTCACATTAGTGAATGTAGCGATAATATACTGAGAAGTAGAACATACAAATCAATAATTTATCAAAATCGGTCAGAGAATAAAAATAAAGAAATGTTCCCTATGACATTGAAATTCAAATGAATTCAGAAAAGAACCAGAAGAAAACACCGTCAATGGATTTCGCTCTTCAAGCGAATTACAAAATAAAATTGAAGATAAATGAAAAGGGTGTAAAAATATATAGAATCTGCAAGTGACTTGAAAAAAAAAAACAAAAAAAAAAAACATCCTGAACATGAAAGTGACATTTATTGCTTTGAACAAAAAGCCAAGTAATTAGAATAAATGGAAATTCGTGGAATAATAAAAAAAATAAACAAAGACTAGCAGAATTATCCATATCCGTTCATACATAGAGTCTACAGCTATCTATCTACATATGTCTGGGGAGACGATCGCGCACACAATTTAATTTACCTAACTTAGTCGTATATGCACCAAAATTCTCATTTATTAAACCTCACATATGTGCGCGTGAAATAACATAAAACTATACGCATGCACACACACACACACACATATATATATATATAAATATAAAAGTGAACATTGCAGTCAACACTTAGAGGCGACAGGCTGTTTCATGCTGAAACAGACTGTCGCCTCTAAGTTTTGGCTTCAATGTTCACTTTTATATTTACACACGCTCTATCTCTGATATTGAGCACTTTATCCCATAAATATAGCACACCTTAAGAGTATATTTCCATAATATGCAAACCCAGACGCCAACATATGCAAAGTAATTCTATATGCTCTCAACTACATATCCAATAACACGCCAAGCGAAATATTTTAACCGAAGCCAAAAACAAGTATGAAAAAGGCAAAATATACATGGACATAAGAATAAGAAATATTCCAACACTTTATGGTTCATCACACAATATAATAAAAATGTAAAAATACAGCTAACATTTATCAAAAAGATATGCCTTAAAACTTATACCGGCACTGAAAACATATTAATTATTAGAATGACAATTGGAATTCCAACGAAGAATTCAAGTTTTCCAGACTACAGAAATATTGCTGAAGTCAACAAAACTAGCAAAGAGTCTGTTGGAGTATTGGCTAGATTTTCTATCACTTGTTTTGAA